ATGCATCTGGAGCTGAACCGCATTCGGATGGAAAGTGGAATCGGGAACGGGTTCCCCGAGCTCTGTATCCATGCTTGCTTAGCGATCAGTCTTGGGAACTGAGTTCGAGTCCCGAAGGGATTCCCGATTGATTCCTCTTCCGAGAGAACGACTCTAACCCGATTCCGATTCGGAATCAAGGCGAGCTTATGCGAACCCCACTGACAAGTCTTACTTCTAAGGGAGGATCCAATGGCTCGAAGAGTTCCCGCGGCGGAGGGTACGTGTCCGATCCGGCGGCGTGGACCCGAGACGGAGGGAGAAACGCCCGTCCGAGCGGAGATGATGTCTCGGGTCGATTGAGCCGTGCTCCGTGGATAGCGACGTTGCGGACGCGGAAGTTCCCGATGCAAGGATTCATGATTACCGAGGATCGTTCCGCGGGCCGAGTCCATGTGCCTCTGCGTCATAATCCGATGCAGCACCGAGGATTGCACGCATCTACCACTCCTGCTCGTTTATTGACCATTTCGTTGCGGTTCTCGGTGATTTCGGAGACTGGGGCTCGCGCGTCTCCAGCGCTCTTTTTCCAAAATGACCTCGAGTTTCCTGGCTCATGCAAGACTCTTACCTGGTATGCATATTTCAATGGCAGCATGGGGATCTTGTGAGAACCACTTTCTTATCGTCGATTACGAGGTCCCGTTTCGAGCTCGCGCGAAATCCGTCACGCAATCTTCACAGGCGCGTTTTGCAATGCACTCAACTCGCGCGAAAACGGCTGCGAGACAGGCGCAATCGAGCTGAAGGAACTTGTCGTCTCATGTATCCCATGATGCGGTTCCTGCGATGAAAAGCTTCGACGCAGCTATGTAAGCCGTGCTCGATTACGACATGAACACCCCACCAAGTTCTCGGCTGAATATATATTCTCGGGTGCTGAATATCGGATTTCGAAAAAGGCTGATAGATTAGAGCTGCAAAGAGCTAGGAATTGCAAAAGCTTGTGTTGAGCCGAACAGGACGATCGGCCTCGACGCTCTTCGCGCGGCAGCGTTATATGACCGAGAGCTGCGCAATTCCTCCGTCCGTAACGATGCCCGAGAAGTAGTCTCCGAGTTCCTGAGTGTCGCGAGACTATCCAGCAAGCGACAGTTTATTCATATTCAAGAGGGAATTATCAATTCGGATTCAAGGGGGATTCATGGAGAAATTATCATTCCATTCCTCGATTTCAAATACCCACTCATGTCGTTGAGAGCGGTTATGCGTGTAAGTCCTCAACCTCTATCCGCGAAGCAATCGGCATTCGGTATAGATCCGAGGACCGCTGCGGCTTTTCCCTCTGCACCTCGAGGGATATGCTCTGCAGAATAATCTCTTCGGCTCTCTCATCCTCTGACGTCAATTCAATCCGGGTATAAATTCGAATTCATGAGGGAAGTATGAGTTCAAATCATGGGGAAATTATGAGTTCGAATCCATGAGGAAATAATGAATTCGAGTCCTTGAGGAAATCATGAATCCGATTTGATGAGGAAATTATGGATTCGAATTCATGAGGAAATTAAGAATTCAAAGTCATGAAGAAATTATGAATTCGAGTTCACAAGAAAAATATGAATTCGAATTCATAAGGCAATTATGAATTCGAATTCATAAGGAAATTATGAATTCGAATTCATGAGGAAATTTTGAATTCGAATCCATTAGAAAATTATGAATCCGAATTCACGAGGACACCATGAATTCGAGCTCACGCGGAAATCGTGGATTCGAATTCACGAGCAAGATCGATCCGGGAATTATGAATCCAAATTCATGAAAGAATCACGAATACGAGTTCGAGAGGAAATCATGAATTCGAATTCACGAGGGAATCATGACTTCGAACTCTCGAGGGAATCGTAGAGAACTCACGAACGAGTTCTGACTCCGAGTTCTCGCGGAAACTTTCGAAATCCGCATCTGGTGGGATTCTACTCTCCACCGATATCCGATTTCTCGCAGCGGAGGCTCGAAAGATACCGATGCTTCCAATGTAGCGCCGGAGCCTGAGTGAGTCAAGGGACACCATATGTCACAATCGATGGCTCTAGTAGTGAATCGATGGCTTCGTTCCTCGATCATTCAGATTCTAAAAATTGTCGTATCACCGGGAAATCCCTATCGAACATCTGAAAGAGCGTGGGACCGCGTGCTCTGATTCCGTGAACTTTATCACGGTGAAATACTGCTTAGCTTAGCCACGCCTGACAAGTGGGACTCTAGAGACCAAGTCTGACGCATTCCCCTCCTTTTTCTTCCCCTCCTCTGCGAAGACATAAACAACGTTTTATGTTGAAGCTGGCGAGAAAAACGGAACACAGACCAAATCGACAGACAGGCATGCCGGCCGTGCGGATAGCCAAGGGACTGACCGACCGACCGACAAACAGCGCAGCGCGGGAAGATCTCCAGAGCGAGAGCAGAGAAAGAGAATTCGTTCCTCTCGCCCGGAGAACTTCTAGAGAATTGTGGGCCGGTCGACACCGTGGGCGATGTGCGGTCTCTGACTCGGGCTCAGAGCCACCGGGCGATCGGCGGTGTTAAGGCTGAGCGTAAGAGCGAGGAGACCTCGACCCAATCGACTTGCAACTCTCTGTGTCAGCAGCAACGTTTGACACGGCCGATGTCTTATGGCCGGGAGGAATTCCTTCACATTTCCCGCACGCACCTGACGCTTCGCGAGACGTCATTCGCGCCCGGATGTTCTTGGCAGACAGGACGTCTCGACGCCCTCGAGATTCAACGACTTCCCTTTCGAGGGTCGATAGACATTCAGAGTAAACTTCGTTGCCCAACCGATGACCCATCTAATCATCGCTGACTTTCGATGCGGATGCCGCGTGGTATCATCTAGCTTTCGCAAAGATATTCCTCTCCGCTTGACCCACCGCAGCCCTCAGTAATTTCGAGTCCGCCGAATAGATCGATCATGCGTTCTCCCACAAAAATATTTAATTCCTAACCAGGAACTCCCGAGTTGTCTAGGTGACGGAGCATTGTCTTCAAACAAGTTCCATCGAGGTACAAGCTCTCGGGGCACTCCATCATCAAGAGTGGCGACCAGGAAGTCTTTCCCTGCTCGTACCGATGACGTCGAACGATGACCAGACCCATTAACATCTTAAGGGCCCGTGGATTGCCGGAGTGAGCTGCTCTAGTTTCACATTCAAGCTCGGGACGGTGCGTGGAATGAGCGCATCTTAGCATGGGCTTTGTTGCGCCAGGAAAGCCCTGGGACGTTCGACTTCTCCGACAAGAAACCTCCGTCCGCAGCTATGACGTTCAATAGCTCAATCATTGCAATCTCCCGACTCCCTGGTCGAGGTAGAATCGAGAGACGGAGTGCGAGCCTCGCTTCCATCCGCAGACATGCGACCATCAAGCGACTGAGGGGAGTTCCACCCCATGTTAGTCAGCATGCGCCAGATCATGAGCTTCGTCGTCTCCAGATAGGCATAGAGGGCAATAAACTTCACTTCTTCCGTGACTGTTAAGCAAACCACACGCGTCGTCCATACAGTCAATTATTACCCCAAGCATAGTAGCTCCGACTTGATACCACTCCGATTGCCCCGTGGGGACCCTAGCGGATGAGTCGGAAGCGCTTCCCTGGTGTTGTTTTGATTTGGAGCTTAACAGTCTCGCATCCTGGATCGGGTATCTTCCTAATTGGAACAACAGCGGATCAACTCATTCGGAGAATGAATTCCCCGCGCAGCCGATGTGTCTGCGCTCAACGACCGGCGTCCGGAGAGTGTGCTCCCCCATCCATGAGGATTTAGAACGCGGAACGCCCAGTGGACAACATGGGAACGACCTGGAGACGTGGATTCCGAGATCTCGATCATGAATTGCCAACATTCACTCCCGCGACCGATAGACCGAATACATAGTTCTGGAAAAAGGAAAATCCCAAAAATGTCTGATCCATTTGCTTGTGAGCACTTCGGCTGAAACCTGAAACAATGATTACCTAGTTCTATTTACGATCGCCGTCGACGGCGAGCGGCTTCCCTCTCCGATGATTTGTTCCATTGTCGACTATGTTCGGATTGAAGTTCCTGGCGTCAGCGCAAACGCGTCCCACTCCTATCAGCGGCATCGTTGCCAGCTCTCTGTGACTGCTGATCGTTACTCGTCGGCGTCTGTTGAAGACTCGGAGGTTACGACCGAATCTCAGAATGCAAACGCCGAGCCCGATTTGGTTGACCGGCGGCTCGGAAAACAACAGATAGCTCTCCCATTAGATCACCGCCGCGCCAGAGCTGAAAAACATCTTGGTATGAGAAATCGTGGATTCCGACTCGTCCATAGGACAACGGATAGGCTATTCCCTTGAGATCCACAGAGGAAAATCCAGACGCCAGCGACAAACTCCAGGTGAATCAGAGCTTCGAGAAAAGTGGCTCTTCCCTCACTCGTATGTTTATAGTGGCGTCTATGGAGACACGTCGACAATGACTCTCAGTCAGCGATGACTTCATTCTAGGTGAGGTTCCTGTTCGTAAGAACCGAGGCTGTCCGAGAGTGGCACCGCAGCGGATGGCAGCGTCGTCGGTCCCTAAGCAATGAGTCCGCATATCTGTCCGCTGTTCGCTGACTCGCTTGGTCGCTAGGTTAGCTGCTTGGTTCGACTACAGGCTAGCTAGCTAGCGCCCGGAGTGAGTTGCCTCTGGTGCTATCGGCGTGGCTCTCTGGAAACCACGACAGAGCTGAGGCGCGCGCGCGCTCGCTCGAGTCTCCCTCTTCGAGCATTCCTCGTGTGGTGGCCGCGACTAGCCCGGTCGGCCAGCTAGCTGGCTAGAACTAGCTGGTTGTCTTGCCACCCTGCCCGCTTGTCTGCTTGCCTGACTTTTGTGCCTGCGGCCAGTGTCTGTTAGATTCTACACTGCCGGAGAATTGTTGCTCGAGAGACCGAGATACAGTTGTGTGGATACTTGTTGTTGTGCGCTTGTGAACGCTGCGTCCTCAGCATGTCCGAAACGACAATCAAGCTCAGTAGGGGCGACGGAACTCCGTGGGGATTCCGGCTCGGAGGTGGGAAGGATTTTGGATATCCCGTCTGTATTCAGAGGGTAAGTGGATAGCGAATACGGAGATTCCTCTCTGCGACCAGCTGGTCGCAAGAGACGAACTGGAGAGCATTTCGGGCTGGGAACTTCAAATCTGGGACTTTTCTGAGTTTTGTGGTCTTCTTCGTTCCGCTGCTGATTACCGTTGACACCTATCTCAATCAAGAAGTGCGAATTGATTACCGTGAGTGATTTCTCGAATTCAGAGAATGAGAAGCTGCCGTAATGCACGGTCGTTACACATTCGAGAGTTTACTTTCCACTTTGTCTGTGGTGGTTACTTTCTGACCACGAGCACCGAGATTCAACGTAAGCTTCGTTGAGGAAGGCCAGACCAACGCACCACCGCCCATGATGGTCGTTGGTGCGTTCTGTGGCTGAGCCTGGAACAGCACCGCTCGAAATGTAAATAGAACGAGAAACCACACTCGAATTAAAACACTCGTTTAACATTTTCCGTGGCAGAGGTGTGTGTTCAGGGTCCCGAGCTTCTTTGATGGTCTCTGAATTGTATCGGATTATCTCAAGATAGCCAGATACACTTCTGAAGGGAAGCCGCGGCGGGTATCGCGAGCGGGAGGGATTAGATCTCGCGTGTGTCATCCGGGGATGAGCTCTCAGAGTATCCGATGATCGCGTTCTCATCACACATAGACTCACCGGATTTTAGACAGCCGAATGAGATGACCAATCAGAAGATTACTCAGCTTATGATCTTCGAGAAAGACATTTTCTATTCCCCCACGGAACTGATGGGATCGGAGGGTGAGCTAGAAAAAGTGGAAGCTCATCTCGTAACCCGTATTCTCCGGACCTTGAGAAAAATGATCGGAGCCGAACTCTGGAGTTTGAGGATGCATCCGCGGCTGCAGGAGGGCCGCTCCGAGCTTCATTCTAGATAGATGACCCGCGGAATCTTCCCAACCTCCTCAAGAGAGCGCGAATCATAGACGAGGTAGTCCACGGCGGCATTCCTGGGTGCTCTAATTCAATCCCGACATAATCGTTGTCTAAATGAGGTGGACGGAATGAGTCTAGGAAGACGGAAGGGAGAAACAATGTCGAGCTTCTCATTGTCAACTTGTCCTCCCACGCAGTCTCTGACGATCGTGCGGGGCCTCAGCCGCAGCGGCCTGTTCGGGACGCCTCATCATCGAATCAATCACCGAGAGCCCGTGTTTTCTGCACCGAACACCTGACGTTCAACACGATGCTTTGTCGCATCGATCCTGGACGCTCACACCTCAGGGAGGCGAAGCGGAAGAGTGCGTCCGCCACGAACACTGTTTCGAGAGTGCTGAGGGTCCACCCAGCGGACCGCTCCGTCGAACAATTCCGAGTGGAGGATTCCACCATCGGGAACCGAATGTTATTCGAGTGTCGTATCGGAGCATGGGGCTGGTGATATTCCGACGTGAACCGCTGCTCTCAGTCGAGGAAATCGAATTCTGGCCATGCGAGGATTTTCCCTCCCTATCTCGTTTATTCATTCTTCCTAGTATCGGTTCCGGAAAACGGAGCGATTTTCGACGTTCGCCGTGGCTGAAGAGGCCTGTGATGAGACAGAGACGTTTGGATTGACGGCTTCCCAATCGGTCGGCCGGAGACAATTATCGGTTTCGATTTTCCCTGCCCTGGCAAACCCGATTGATCGTGGATAGACGGAGATTTCGATTCTGGTTTTCCCGATCCGCCCGCATCCATTCACTGAGTGCATGGCATGGCTCTGAGACGTGCCTCCATCGTCATGTCTCATCTTCTCAAGACTTCCAAGCGTCGACCTGGGAAATCTCCGTGTATGCGCGAATGATATTGAAGAATCAGAGGGGATGAAAGCTGCACGGAAGATTCCCGGAGAATGGAGAAGATCGATTAGGGCAGAATGGATGGAAGAATTTTTATTCTCGCGATTGAAATATTCTCAGGAGGATAGGATGTCTCCTGGGCTCGCCAATATGATCATGAATCTCGTGAATGTGGCAGGACTGGAGTGTCGGAGGACGACGGGAGGCCTCGGGGAACTTCCAGGATTACCGACTTGAAGATTTGCTGGCGCGTGTCACCGACCTTACTAAATCGGGTCCCCTTATCCCTCATAAGCCGTGGCGTACACAGGATTTTTCTTGGGTGAGGGGGGGGCTAGATCGGGTCTCCGCATGGGGCTGAAATCCAGTATGGCGATTCGCTCGTGTACTACAGCATTACGAAGAGACCATTTGGGAGGGGGCTATAGCCCCTTTAGCCCCCCCCCCGCCGTACTCCCTTGCTCATGGGTGAATGCATTCGGAGACCCTCTCCAGTAGCAGATTTTGAAAAGATCGGTTTGCTCCGCGAGAGCGTTCATCCTCAACGGGAATCCATAGATTTGGAGGAGACAGAAGAAAATGATTGGGCATCATCTTGGCGAGAGAAATTCCTCCCCACCGAATTTGCCTATCGCTTGAGTGCATCGATCGAGTAAGAGCATTAGGTGAGGACAAAAGAAAACAGCGGACAAGAATCTTCACTCCCTCGCTTTTCTAGGGGAACTCAAGGGTTTCCCACGTGGCTCACATTTCGGAAACAATTGTAGCAGTATTCCGATGCGGTTGGCTGTATCGGATTTTCCCTCAAGTCTTCCTTCCGGGGTCCAATGACGTCACAGCTCAAAGCCACTGAGTGTAATTTTGCTACAATGAGGATTTCGACCGGAAACCTCTCGACAACATCCTGCCGACATTTGCAAGGCTTCGAGAGGCCATACTCGGATTACATTTTGACGCGACGCGCGACCCGTCTCGAAAAGGCGCACAACGAGGAGATTGTACGTCCCAGATTCATGAAATGAGTAGGGAATTCATGATATTTGACGAGCTAGCCCCATCGAAGAAGAGGCTGGCAGGCTGAGCCTGTGATTGAAGACGCATAATTGGCTCAGATTCTTCTGCCGGAGATAAGTTTTCTCCTTGTGATGATAAGGTCGAGAGGGAGCTCGAGAGCTCGCCTATCGCATGATCGAAGGATCTCGGTCGGCACCGGGACGCTCGATGTGTGACGAGAGTGAGCGATAATGATTTCGCGTGTCTTCCCTCAGCGAGCCCGGATAACCACAACTTCGAATCGCTTCGCTCTATTGAGCGGCCCGTTCCCCCCTCGCCCACAAACCCTTCCACTTCAAGTCGCGATCGTCTATCCGTCCCAAAAGTTCAGCACTGATAATTGAATCTACGCAAGCGATGGCGTCGGCGTCTCTAAGCTTGCGGAAACTCGATAGAAGAGATTCCGTGAAGAGAAGCGGTGCGAGCTTTGAAGGAAAGCGAGTATAGGACGGGATGGCCGTTGCAAGGACCCGCATCGGAGTTCGGGGCGAGCCAAGAGCAGCCGATTCGCCCAATCGATCCTTTTTAATTCCTGCAGGTTGGCCGATGTCTTGGAGGACTCCGCTGTCGGCGTGAAAAGGACGTTTCATTTTCTTGCGAATCAGCCGCCGTGTTTCCCGGTGCAGTCCATCCGAAGATGATCGCTGCCGGCAGGCAATCAACGAAATCGGTCTGCCCCCAGTGCCACTCGTTCTAGGAGCCTGATCCGGTCCCTTACGGGGGAGGACGATGTGCTGGAACTAGATCATTTCTCACTCTATTCCTGTCTGTCGGTCCGCCGTCTGTAAGGTACCTCTTGTAGGTCGATACACGTAATTTCACGGCGGTCTAGGGATCGCCGGAATTGCTCCTCCAGCTCGAGAGTGTTGGCGAATCGAGGCATCCTACGAAAAAAGTGGCGCAACATCGCTCAGCAGAGCGCAAAGACTCGCAGACTAGGGAGAGTACCGGACTTGGGTAGAAAGACCTCGTACGCCTCCTACGGGGGCGCCAGAGATGGAGAAATCTCCGGCTCCAAAGCCAAGTGCCGATGCGTTGCGCTGATGCTCTGTTGACCCGACGCTGACGCCAAAGGAGCTCATCCCTCTGCCGGGCTGGAGTTGCCGCAAGACAACCACGCGGAAAATACCAGAAAACAGCCCGGAAGTCGCAGCCCACTGAGTCCGAGTGCCAGGCTCCCGCGCCGAGAGTCGTCGAGAGTGGAGGCGGAGAGGATTCTGCCACGCGGGGGTAACGGATGCCGGGCCCGAAGAAGAGAGGCTACTTATCACGAGAAAACTCGAATTTTTGATCGATCGAACATTTTTTCATTCGTGGGATCAACTTCTCAACCTTCGGAGGACATTCGTATCCTCTGGATGAACGAGAGAGGCTCTCCCGGAGAGCTTTCGAGCCTGTACCTTATCGCACCGGTAATTCAATGGAGGGATTCAGTGGAGGGATTCTGACAACTAACCAGGCGACCACTCAACTATCGCAGAGGTGGAAAGCTGCGGGAGGCCACGCAGCGAAAAAGTAATGTACAGAGAAGCGGACAGCGAAGCCGCAATTAGAAACGAGACTCCAGAGTAATGAGGCCGTTAATTGCGCAGAACTTCCATGGCGCTTGCATGAAAGCCTTCAATGAGAAGCGAATCCGCATTCGATTGTCTCCTTTGGAAGGCAAACACCGGAACTGATCGAGTCCGAGGTCCGATTAGTGCTTGAGGCTTTCATCCAGCCGCAAATGGAATTGGGACTCAGATTGTCGGCAATTGCCGATCCATGTCCTGGGCCAGTGCATCGTCGCGTCGTTAGAGTGCCCGAGGATTTCGGAGCGTATACCATGAGGAAAGACTACCATGGGATAGACTAGCAGTGAGTGATCCCCGGCAATGAGGTCGAGCAATGAAGCGGAGGAGGAGCTACTTTCGGATCCTCTACGATGATGTCGACTCCTCTTACTCGGAATTTCGGGCGAATAACATCTCGTCGTCGAAAATTCTCTCACCGTTACCTTCGAAGCGTCGCGACGGCGTCGCGGACTGGCTCGGTGAACCCCTGCACTTTCATCTTGAGCTCGCCGAGAGTCTCAGGGAGGATTCCTCCCGTTTCGAGCGGATCCCTTCTTGCCTAGAACCCGGAGGCTCAGGAATGCTCTCGTTCCTGTTGCACGGCATCCTAGGCGACATGGAACGTAGACATACATCGAAGCATTGATGCCTTCCTCCCACTCTTGTTTGCTCTGTCCGCAAACTCTCTGGCAGGAACAAGACATTTTCTTTGTGGGAGCGATTGTTTCGCGAGACAGGGAATCCGAGCTGCAGGGAATCGGTGCACTTTGATGCAGCATTTATTCGACCGTTCGAGAGGCGGACGAGCAAGGAGCCCTCCGCACGCGGAGGAGACGGAGTGCGACAAAAGTACCTCTTGCCGCAGTCTCTCGTGTATCGAGAAAGTCAAAGAAAGTCCGAGACGGCATGTATGTAGAGCGAGACCCTAGAACACTCCTACACAATCCGTAGCAGACAGAGACTCGGGGCTTTGCGCGATCGGCGCGTCTGAGAGCAAACAGACCTGAGAACGAGAAACCTTCCTCCGAGGAAACCGGAGATACCATCAGTAAATACGAGCTTAATTCTCGCGGAGTGAGAAATATCAAGAATTTTGTGGCACGACGATCCCCGACCCTGGTGGATGCCGATTCGGAACAGAGTCTCACAGATTGTAAACCCGGGCCGCTTTTCCATGAGTCTCATTAATTGGATCATGCGGCGTTCGTCGGGATATTTGCATCCGGTGAAGAGCCAATTCTATAATTAGAGATTCCCACAGCGTGGCGCCTGTGGCTAAATCCGGCTTTCCTACTCTCTAAGCGGGGTTTAATCATCAAAGCAATTATTTATTTGCAAGCAGTGCAGTCGACTTAGTTCCAAACTGCTCGAGAATCTCGGGGGAAGTCCCTTCGCCTGCTGAGCTCGTCGGTGGTCGTCTTGGATCAGGAGCCCGAAAGCCCCACCAAGAAATATTTTAATCTGTCCGTAGGTGAGCCTCTCGTATATCATTCGATTTTATGTTCGGGAACAGTCGGCTCCAATAGAGAATAGCATCCGACAAGTTTTGGCGTCTTCGACGCACAGGAGGTTGCGGCGGGAGGTTCATACACGCAACCGAGAGCTGCTTTCAGCTCCACGTCCATGGGAGAGACCCCGCCGTCCCAATCTCGACTCGATTTTTCACTGAGCAAACATTTATCCAGTGATAAAGGCGAGGATGAGGGTGTTTGCTCTTGTTCACGCGAGTTTTTTGGATAGCTCCTTGGAGGAAATCAAGATCATACGTTCTCCGTCTCCGACTCCCGGGAAACTCGTGCTTGGTATTGTTCGTTTTGACTCCGACGGCTCGAGGCCACCGGGGAGTCCTCGGGAGGATTCTTAAAATTTAAATTCCCGATCTACTTTGTCTGAGAGAGAACGGGTCCCCTATAGCCCGTTCCCCGGACTTTTGAAGCGCTGCTAGGAGAAGCCTCATGAGGTTTTCTCCTGTTCAAAATAAGTCACGATGTTGTTTACGGAGCTAGCGCAAGCTAATATTTCTTCAGCTCGGGCGGCAATTCTCTTGAGCTGAATCTTAAACTCGGGAAGCTTCAACCCAGGGGCGGAATTGTCGACTCCGACCCCAGTGCTGCATGGGAGGGATAACGACACGATCGTGAACCTCGAATTATGTGAATTCTTTTAGGAGAGGAGCAACTGTCTCCGGTAGTTTGGCGGAAACATGCAGAGAACATTGTATAGCTAATGTAGACCCTTCGGCCAGTACATCATTGAAGTACATGGAGCGATGCTAAAGGGATGTCGTAATATGTCACCGAGTCTATAGCCGAAAGCCCTTCACAGAGAAAGTCGGACGGGATGTATTATGTCGGCGGGTACGTGAGTCGGCGAACATTTCCGGTGTGCCTCGGCCACACACAGCACCGTATGGGACCACAGGAGCTTGTTTGTGAGTGGAAGTGAGAGTAGCTCTGATAAAAATGCCGACGCAGGACGGAGGCATTCATCCGGGGAGACCCAATATGCTCGGAATGTTGGGCCCGTCGCAAAATATGTGTGCTCAGAGAGACCTCTCCGAGAGAGTAGGAGGAGAAAAACTCCCACGCCAATTACGAGAGCCTTTACACAGACAGAGATGTATCCACCCGACCGAGTCCACATTCGTCGTAATGGTTCCAAACGAGAGAACTTCTGTTGTAAAACTCATCGCTCAAAGATTAGCTCCCCATTCAATTGCTATCCAGACATTGATTGTCAGGGTTTCGATTCAGAGCTCGAATCATTTTTTCTTTTTCTCGCCCCTCAGGCCAACCCGGGAAGCTTAGCTGAGCAGGCTGGCATCCGAACCGGAGATCAGGTGTCGCGAATTTCTGGCCGTTCCACCGAACACATGAGCCACCAGGATGCTCAGAACGCCATTCTCAACAGCGGAAACTATCTCGACCTCACCATCGTACGGTAAGCGAAAACTTTTCCTTTCCGTCTTATTGACAGAGCGATATTAGATTTCGTGAGTGGTCGCGAGCTCCCCCAGAGGTCGATTGCAGCGTCGTTATGATGTGGAATCGAAGAGGAAATAAAACCATAGGATCAGTTTCGGCAGCTCGTTCTTCGGAAGCGCGATGAGTGGAGCAGAGCCAAAGCTCCCAGAACTTCCTATCTTGCGACCCTGTTTCCCGGCTCGAGATTCTTGTTCATTATTCGCCGTTCTGAAGGAAGTTGTTCAGTAGAGGGGTCTTGAAGCGAAAAATCGATTTTTCCGTACCTGAACAGAATTTGCCGGTGTAAGGGAATTCCTGCCGCTACTGTCGGGGAAATCCGCTCCCTCTTAATTCAGATAATCGACTTACCCAACTACTATGACGAGAAGAGTCGATCAAATGACGAGTTGTCTGGGTCCGGAGGCGGAATGGATAAAGGCACAGGGTAGGGAGCCCCTATTATATTACGCCTGGCTTCTCCTTCGACGTGCCCTCCCCAAAACGGTGCTGTGCCGCGCTGATCAGAAGACGACTCTTATCGTCACGTCTCGCACTCAACAGATTGGCGCCATAATTCTGATCTTCACGTGAGGAAGGTCTGCGGCGCGGCTCCTCACAATGGGAGCGGCGATGCACGTTTCCTCCGTGATGACAACGATTGAGGAGAGCGAGGCCACCTTGGTGAAGACTCGTCGATGCTGATTGATCTGATCGTCATCCGTAGAGAGATTGGGCAATCGAGTATACCTGTTTCCGCTGGAATTCGACCGGTAGCCTTCAAGATTTTTTTTCTTTGGGTTATCGCCCTTCCAATATACTCAAGCGATGATCCGGGCTTGAGCCATAGACTTCTTTATTCCTCTCCGTCCCGAAGTCCTATGTATGACGTACAGCTATGAGCGAGGAAACTTCGGAGGTGCCAGCGAGCGTATCAATATCTTTTATTCCTCTCTATCAATAGCCTTCTCTGAAGGCCAAGAGGAGAAATCGTCCGACCTCCCGAGGTCAACACGTGGACAATCTCATAAGCGTCTGAGAGCAGGAGCATCGAGTATACTACCGCCGTAGAACAAAGGGAAGTCACGGCGGGGTTGTGTCGTGTTTCATCACGGACTCCTCGCATATATTCCTCGGCCAGCTCCCTTGGAGAATAGCAAACAAGATCAAGCCTCGATACTCCGAAATCTCTCAAAGCTCTCCAACCCGAAGCGCATGCACCGAAGGCGTCGAGTGTCTAGAAGAATAACGCCGGCAGACTTCCCTCGTCGAATTATTATAATAAGATCCCCAAGTTTCCCCGATAGTCTTTTTTCCCGAGGACACCGTAAAATGGAGTTAAAAATTCATCCACAACACGGTCGCTATCCAAGACATATCGGCCATCCTTCAGGAATTATTGAATAGCAGCAGCCAATATCGAAGCATCAAGGCTCCCGCGTTCCAACCGGTATGAGCTCCAGGGAAATCCGCTCCAAGCGGACCTTGCTTGGAAGACCCTGTAGTTTCCCTGGGAACTCAGGGGAAGAGAGAGGAAAACCCAATACGTCCCATCACTGAATTCCTTCAGGGAAACTACTCAATCTTTTTCGCACACTCATATTCCCTTCCGGTAGACTTTTTCCGGTGGAAAAAACTCGCGAGAGCTCCTTCTCGTCTCCGTACAGCTCTCCTCTTTGACTGTCGTTTTCGCCTCGCGATGCTTACGTGTGCTCAAGATGCTGATCGCTTGTGTGTTCTGTTTTCAGCGGCGGATCTTTGACGTGGGCACCGTCGGTGCAAGCAGTCGGAGACATCACTCCTGGATCCCAAGGACCTTTAACCAGGACATCTTTAGCGGCGAACAAACAAACTCACAATCCGATCGGCTCGTCGCATAATACTTCGGCTAAGCCTTTCTCGCCGCAAATCGTAAACAAGCAGTACAACTGTCCTGCGGCCCTCTACTCCATGGAGAGTCTCCGTGAGGCCCTCGAGAAGCAAAGCGAGGTTCTCACTGGAGGTGCAATAGGGTTCGTGCCCACTTTGCCCACTCAGGCTCACTAAAATCAGCGCGTCGCGTCGTTTCGGTGCCAATCACCCGTGACTTTCGATATCCGCTGGCGTTGATGAGTTCCGTTCCCCGCAGGATCAACTTCATGAAGGAGGATAAACCTTTGAACAAGGATTCCGCTGTTTACCGTATGGTCCAGGAAGAGGATAAAGCACCCAAGAGTAGGTTTTGTCCGCTGCGCTCTGACGTGGCTTTGCTAGGAACACATATGTACTTTCATCCCGCTCCAGAGTTTCGCGCCAGACCCCCTCCCCTTCCCATCGCAATTGGAGTCTTTCCGGGGGGAAGAGTGTCTTCGGCATAGATAATGCTTCGATTGAATTCCTCATGGGCAGTATTGTCAGCGTCTGATCGTACTCCTTGAGACAGCTTGAATTAGGACCAAAGTCTTAGGAGACTGTTGATTACATGCCTCGACGACGCAGTTCGCCGTAACCTATAATATCCGTCCGATGGTAGACGTTTCGGCGCTTCACTCCTTTTGCTTTCTCGCGATTGATCAAAGTACATGCCTCGCTCCGTCTCCTTACATTTGGAGTCGCGGGAGGAGCTCTCATCCGTAACCCGGAGTTTTTGCCGATCGCTTCTCGAAGCGCTTTCAGCGGGACTCTCCCCCACATGCGAACACAAGCCCCTCAAATACAGTGTTAACGCCGTCCATTAGTGTTGTTTGGCTGCTGAGAGAATCACTGAACCATCGTAGAGTAGGTCCGCTTATCTAATGCTTTCGCTCTGTCTCATCTTGCCGTGACCCGTCGTCGCTGCTCGTTCGCTGCCCGGTCGGTTGGTTGCTTACTGACGGTCTAGGACGAGGTCCAAGCGCTGCTCCCATTGCAGCTCCAGGCTCACCGTGTCCAGCGTTGTCTGGGGTAGACAGCTCTCCGCTGGGCTCGGCGGGACTCCGTCACGTCGAAGCGCCGCGGCCGCCGCCCGCCCCGGTCCCGTCCGCTGGCTCCAACGTCACCGCTGGGGGACCGAACGTCTGTACTGAGTGCGGCAAACTCATCGTGTGAGTGTTAATCCAATTCTGAATTTGCTGAGTGAGGACGTTTGCTGAGCAAGGAATCAGCAAGAATCATGAATTTATGTTCCGGAAGAAGGCTGGTCTGCTCCAGGGAGATTGCGAAGGATTCCTCCAAGTAATTCATTCATTGGTATCCGCTCCTCCCAGTCAGAGGCATCAAGACATAGAGAATATACAGGAGTAGACGTACGTACGACGCGGCTCAGTTGACAGGTACCTGTCATACAGGTACTTCCGACCTTCGATAATAACTCGACGTTCTCCGCAATATCAAAACTTGCGAATGCGTCTGCGGTATGCGGAACCTGACCAACAAGGATTCCCGGCGATCCTGCCAGATAGAAAGATATCGACCATGAATCTATCACTCCTCCGGGATTTCCGTTAGCTCAAGGCTTTATTGTCGGGCACAACAGATTTGCCATGACGGCTTATTCATCGACAACTAATTTGGCCGGAGAGCGGATTTCGCTGCTGAAGCATCGGATCCAGCTGAACATCCTTAAACCCGGTAGAGACCGGGCACGACGGGGACTGCGTGAAAGCTCCCGATGAGGGTCCGTGTACCTCGCTGTCAGATATGGGGATGGACGGAAAACACGCGATAAGCTCCGGCCCACAGATGGCCCCGGGACGCATTTGCAACAGCCATAAAACCCTCTGGAAATATTGATCCGGGGGGAAGGAACATATGGAGGACTATGTTTCCCAGAACATTATCGAATGTCAAAGCAGATAATCTGACTTGAAAAAGCAGAGAGGGGATGAATTGAATGTTATGTTCGAGAAGCTCTGTGATTTCCGGCATGGGCGACTGGCTGGATGCAGACATGTTTGAAATAGAGCCTCGGGAAGGGAAATATTCGAAACATTGATTCGAAACACTAGCCGTGAGGGCGCTTGGGCATCGATTGGAAATTTTTTGAAGTCTGTCAAGAGAAGGGGAGCGTCAAAAATGGTTCAGGAGAGACGGAAATTCTAATTTCATTCAATGGGGGAACAGTCTTCCGAGGAAAGTTGAACGGGTCTTGTGCGGTACCAGCCCGTCAAGTCGAGGTACAACCAGACAAGCTCCCAGAACTTCAGGGAGCTTTCCCGATGCATACTCGCACCCTGAGATCAGAATTCTCCGAGCTGCAGAGTCGCTATGGATTTCCACGCCGTACTCGCCGATGTGCGGATCTGGGAGGAGCGATCGGACTCGGGAATCATGCTTGGGAATCCGTCACTCCGGTTCCCGGTCAAAGGAAGCTCCAGAATATCTCTGGCGGATCCATGCGAATAAGGAGACCTCTGCTCACACCGAAGGATCTGAATAACGACGAGCAATTTCATCGTAGGGGGGTCTTCTGCCGTATCAAGGATCGAGACATGCACGCAGAATGTTTCCGCTGCGCCACTTGTGGGAACTCATTGAAAAATCATGGTTACTATCTCGTGGGAGGTAAACTGTACTGTGAAGTACATGCTCGGAACGCATCTGTTATGCTGAAAGAACCGGTCTCTCCGTAAGTACCAAGGCATACTTCACTCCACAACGTAGATTGACGCTTATTACAACCTTTCCACGATCGTCTAATCGCTTCCAGAACTTCGTCCCAACCGATTCCCGCTCCAGCGTCGCCGGGAATTTCTCTCGGATCCCTGCCAGCTCCTATCAGTCCGAAGCCGTTCTCGTCAAGTGCTCCGACGGTGAGCGCTTTGTCTTCAACAAGCACAAAATCGATGACGAGAAGATTCTGACGGGGAAATGAGGGGCGAGAAGGAGTTCATGTCACGCTTCGACCTGAGGAGGAGACGTGATAGGAGAACGCTAGCGACACAAGAGGAGAGGCTGGACTCGAGGGACCTTTTTCTCCCGCATTTCCTCTCTGTCAGGATTGACCAAGCAGAGAAAACTTGTGGGAAACTCTGGGGAGCGCTGAGAGTTGGAGGGAAAACGAAAGAAACGCATACAGCCTCGGGGTCAGAGGAAACAGAGGGACGAGAAAGGAGTGCCCGAGGTCACAACCACTGTATCGAGAGGAGCGTTTGTCTCTGTGTTCCCGCTGTCCACTCGATTCAGCGAATAAGTTCCGGACTCGCTCTCGCTGGCTCTGGCAACCCTCTTTCTTGTGGTCTTTTATCTTCTTGCTGCTCTTTTGCTTCCATGACCCCGTTCGTAAGCCCCCCACCAGTGGTACCTTCCAACATCCCCGTCTCAGTTTCACTATTTTTGATTTTCAGTTCCGCTCAGTCGCTCCGCCCGTACCTCCTAAACCCTTGCCTCAGGTACAATCTTCTGTCTCGTTCCGTGGCTCGTCCTATTTCCATATGTATTTCGACTTGAATCATGAACCCGACCGGGAGCCGCGGGATCACGCCTAGATATTCGACGGCGCTCTCGATCCCCTCATGATCCTCCGCCTGAGGGACGGCGGTCCCCTCCCAATTAGTTAGCGCGGCATCAATAGTATGACAAGAACTCTAACCCCGCTCGTGCGGAAGAATTGAATCCTTCCCAATGAGCTCCGTCGAACAACGAGCTACGGAACCACGGAGCTACACTTCTGATGCGCTCCCGAGTATTCTCCCGTCAATTGATCTCGTCGCGATGTAGGTGTCCATCAACGATTCGGTTTCACTTCATTTCAGCGCAATTCCGGATGCTTCGAGCCTTCACCAGCAACAGGTAAGTTCCACGACGCATACAATGAGCCATATCACAATCAATGTTCTTGGGCGGATGAGAAACGGGCGTTCGACTCATTCTGACGAGAAAATGTCGTGTCGGAGCGCTTCCCTCTTCAATGGAATAGATTAATTCCCGACGAGCAAATTTCGATTCTGTCCCCGGGAGTTTGAGAAATTGATGAGACAAAGGCCGCATCTTGGCTCGAGAACTCGAGGGATGGAACAGGAAAGTTGAGCAGATCAGGACGTGCGAGATTCAACGCGATCCCATGTTTTGAATTCTGCTCCCCAAACAGAGTTCCCGAAGGAAATTCATGACCGATTCGGAGTCTGGAAATCTTCACGTGTAGAGTGTGATCTCCTTTTGCATCGATATGATTCAGAGCATTCATTCGTATCAAGAATCGAAATCGAGTCCCTTATGAATGGATTACTCTCAGAAATCTACAGGGAGACTGCTTCCGGGACCTACGATTACTCTGTGGGATCATTTTATTCGATTTTGGCTCTCTTCTTCTGAAAGGAACTTGTGGGACTCGCTGAGGACTGCTTGATGGATGTCGATCTAGGTAGTTGCTCACCTGTCCTGGGTTCCCTTCGTTGAATTGCTGTATCTGGAATCGTAATCTAATCGAGATCTTTCTCTCCCTTCCGACCTGCTACCTGCATCCGGTCGTGCATGTCCTCCGCTCATTCCCTCTGCATCCATTCCGTGCCACGCTCGCCCCTCTTCTCATGACCTTCCATGATGACAATCATCTGCACTCCTCCTGCGCCTCTCTCTCTCTTTCGTTCCGAATGTCTCCGATACCTTCCGACTGTGCATCTCAATTCCTCAATCGATGGAACATCGATGCCAATCACTGAACTTGTTGCGCCGATACGAAGACCCGAAACCCGGGTCGTCGACACCGCCGATCGCGTCGCAATGTGCTGTGTCTGCTTGCACTGATCCTTCCGCCAATCGAAATTTCACGTGGCCTCCGCAAGACAGCAACCGTCAACTGGTTTCGAACGCCACTCGAACTGCGCCCATGTATCGAGCTCCCCCGCGAGACCAACAAACCCGCTTTACTTATCGTCCTACAGAAGCCAACTTCAATCCCGCGCCGCCAAAGTGGCCTCCTCAGCAAACGTTCCATCAGAGTACGACATCAACAACGACCCAAGCGTCATCCGCGACGAATTCATTCAGCTCCGGTCTTGAACCGCTTGGCGGAAGCAAACCGGCCCCTCGTCGTGGCCGTGGAATGTTAAGTCAGGCCGGGGGACGAATTCCGGTCTGCGCTACATGCGGAGCTCCGATCAGGTGGGTACCTTTTCACGTTTTCCCGGAGAGGGCAGAAGCTATCGAACTCGACGAAAGAGCGCCTCCGCTTTCTTCCCGGGCACGAAAGAAAAAACTCACGAGACCAATATGGGAGTTCCCCGTGTGACCCCCCGACTGGACCGATTATAATCAGCAGGTCCATTTTTGTGGAAATTCGTCGGTGTCTTGCCGCTTGAAATGAGCCCCGGAGATTATTCACTGTTTTTCACCGCTTATCAATTATTTATCAATGACTCAATGATTATAGGTAATAATTACTAATCATTAATCAAGATCCTCATGTGCGCTCGAGCTCGTGGACAATATTGCCAGCAACGCCGTGCTCTTACGGCCGACCATCTGACCGAGTTCCGGCGCGCAAGAATACTCAATGGTAATCGTAGCGCGGCTCGTGCCGAAAGTTTCCTCGGCGAGCGCAGTGTTTGCTTTTGAGGTTTCGAGTAAGAGGAGCTTCGCAAAGAACCGAGATGTCTAATCAAAACTCCTGTTTCGAAATGAATTTACTTCCGCTCGCGGCGTTCTCGCTCACGCCCATGTCCCGTTGAGAAGAAGCACGAAGATTACTAAGAAGACGGAATCGCGCTCGCTCTCTCGAGAAACAAGTTGTTACGCGCAAACAGTAATTGTAAGAACTTTCGTGCATTCAGCACGGCCGGGGAGCAGATGCTGTCGGGGGCAAACTCCCGAATCTGCTCAGCACGTATTTATCCAGGATTCGATAAACAGAACTAATTATTACGAATCATAATGATTGCCCGGGGTACTGTTCTCCGGTTCCGCCGCTCTTACCGATTACTATTTATCTCTCTATATCGCTCGGTGCTCCGCGCCTCGATACCGCCAATACATCCAACGACAACGCGCGACTTTCCGTTGTAAGCTCCCATAGAAGCGAATGACGGACAAGTCTGTAGTTGGATCAATGCAATCGATCTCAGCGATGAACAAGATCCATTCGCCTTGCAGGGGACCTTTCGTTTCGGCTGTAGGGAAGACCTGGTGTCCGTCGCACTTCGTCTGCGCAAATGGAACGTGTCGCCGTGATCTGATCGACTGCGGCTTCGTAGAAGAGAACAATCATCTTTATTGCGAGCGCTGCTTTGAGAACTATATGGCTCCCACGTGTTCGAAGTGTCATCAAAGGATCAAGGGCGTGAGTATCGTTTACGACTTTCCTCCGAGACGTCGGACCGGCGGCTGCAGTCCGATCGATTCGGGCCCTCGAAGATCATCATTCCCGCGAGGAATCGTACAAAGGAAAAATTATTATCCGACATTGTACCTCGATACCGATCCCGTGGGGGGCGATCTTCCCCCTGGCGGAATTGCCCTCGATGGGAGCGGTGTTCCAGAACGTGTCCCGTGATCACTTATCATTTTCCGCCCTCCGATATCTGAGGGCGACAGATAATGGCCAGGTCCGGGAACGACTCGCTTCTAGGCTTCTCGTTGGAGCATATGTCGCCTCCGTTGCCCGTGATCGAGAGCGCGGGTTTTCCCCGCCGATCGAATGGGTATGTCTGCCCCTCGACTGTCCATTTATCTTTTTCAAGTCAGGCGGACAGGTCTCGCCCCGGAGTGTTCTCGATGGTAGGATGAATAGAATGGGTGGACGACATCCTGGAATCCGTATCCTCGTATTGATCAACTTACGTGGCGGGACTCCGGTTAATTCCGGTGCGAGATATTCGATATATTGGAGCGACCATCGTTCTGAGACCTTAAACGAGAACATCAATTTCACTTGTCTTTGCTGTTCTCCGTCAATAGCGACCGGTGTTCCGTTGAAATCGGAAGCCGGTTCTCCCAGGCGCTTTTTTATTCCAATGCGGATGATGCTCGGGAGCTCTGTCAGAATCTACTGCAGCCGAACCTCGGCGCAATCATTGAGAGCGTCACGTCGAAGGAAGCCTCCTCGCAAATCACGCGCAGCGGCTGACGTCCTGTTTCTGAACTTCCGGCGAAAAAAATTCTGCCGGGATACAAGAGAACGATCCTGATTGGACTGGCTCAAAAAACTGTTCCCCGCTCGAAACAGCGTCCGGGCAACCGCGAAACTGGCTCTGCAACTCCGCAATTAGGAACTTTCGATTTCGCGGCAGTCCCAGAGCTGGAAAAGCCCAGCGAAGCTCTCTCTTGCTCCGCATGTTCCGGTGTTGTGTTTTTCCCAGCAGACGCAAAAATCTCTGGGATTGAGTAAAAGTCCATCGAGCTTTCGGGACCGAGAGCTTCCGAGAGTATTGCATATGAAGCGAATGAGGACGATTCCACCGTGGCCGAAGACAAGCTACATGGCCAAGATGGGCAAGTTATGCATCTTACCTGCCCATTCGGAGCGTGTTCCAGCTGTAGGCTCGGTCTCGTCGCCATGCAGCCCTCGAAAATATATGCTGAGACTCCTCCTGGGATACATATTCCCCCCGCGGCTCCCATATTCATAGAGTCTACAACGCACTCACAAGAGGGCGAGATCCAGATGCCAAGCTTGGGTAGTTTCGCATGCACAGGACTTCAAAGGATTGAACGATATGCATAGAAACGGGAGGGGGGCTCTGAAAGCGAAAGATGGGCTCGATTGACGCCATCTCCTTCGGAAGATCCTCCCTTGTCAAGCGCCGCTAGATCCACCGACAAGGTTCAAATTGTTACGGCTTCGGTTTCCGACTGAATCGATTCCGACCAAACTCGTGTGGATAAGACAGTGAATTCGCGCGCTCCAAACCTGAGGTCCGATTTTCGTTGGCGTGTGCGGTCTTGAGCCGGAACTTGATTCTTGAAATTCGAGACATGGACTGCAAATAGACAGCTTTCGTCCTCACAAGCCCCACGACACGAAAAAATCGTCCGTCGAAGGCTCATATTGAGATTCGGGACCGGGACTCGATACAGCATCCCGCCGAGAGTACGGCATGACTGCGAATCGTCGCGAAAGTACGTAGGAGGGTAGATGCGCGGAGGGATTGCGTTCCGCGCCCCCGGGGCTTCTATCAGGATAGAGCGCGGAGCGTAGATTATGATCCATATTTACAGGGCAAACTTACCCTGGGCGTTTTTTTTGCATGAGCCTACGCTGTCGGAGAGGAATCAAAGGCACCGGTTGCCGAAACCGGCTCCGAAACGAATTCGATGCCGTTACCTGGAAAGGGAATTTCAAAGAAATCGTTCGTCGATCAATGACTGAAAGTTGTGGAAAACGCCACGGAATTTCGCCAGGGACAGCCACGGCCTGCTCAAACCTTCGGAAGCGTGGCGTTGCGTAAAGACTGGCAGTCTCGCCTCGCATAAGCCACCAAAGGCGACAGAGCCAACGGGATATGAGCTGCTCATTCTTCCTCGGTACCATGCACCAGCTCCCATCCTGGAAAGGAGCGCTCGCCGTGAAGGAAAACATAATTTATTTATTTTTCCCCAGGACTGCTTGAACGCAATCGACCGCCCTTGGCATCCTCAGTGCTTCACATGCGCTCACTGCCATCGTCCGTTCGGAAACAACTCCTTCTATCTTGAAGACGGACTTCCGTACTGCGAGAGAGACTGGAACGAATTGTTCACCTCGAAGTGTTTCGGCTGTGGATTCCCAATCGAAGCCGGCGATCGATGGGTTGAGGCGCTCAGTAACAACTATCACTCCACCTGCTTCAAGTGCTCTGTGAGTATCGAACCGCGCGTGATTTCGAAGAAGCTCTCTATCGTTTTACTCAGGGCTCGTAACCCCCTGAGATGAGCGTCGCGGGGTTCTCGCTGCGTGACGGAACAGGTGAACGTCGATCTCCGGTCTTCTCTCTGCCGGGAACAGCGGGAGCGACACTTCACTCGAGGGAAGCCCATCAATGTGATTAAGTTCTTCTGCCTGATGATTCTCTTGTTGCGTTCCCGGAAGGGAAGCATCTGCAAAGCTATCTACGAAGCCGTTCATTACTTTCCGTTCATTTCGCTCATGTCCGCGAGCCTCTTTATCACGTACTTTCTCGGGAAGTAATTTGTTCTGAAAGAGCGCCGCGCTCTTTGTGACCCACTCATCCTGGGTGTCACTCGTCCCTCGACGTCTGTCCTCGGAACCGATCCCATTACAGGGGGAGCATCTCGGAGAGGCAGTCCCTGTGCTCTAAGTTTCAATTCGGAGCGAATATCGTTAATTTATTGACTGTGTGAGAATTAGCCGCCGATGAATAATTTCCTCTCTCTCGGCAGGTATGCCATAAGACGCTGGAAGGCCAGAGCTACTTCGGAAAAGCAGGGAAGCCGTACTGCCGTCTGCACATCAGATAGATTACTTCCGGGATTTATGCCGCTCGACATAAGATTCCGCACGGGAATCGACGAACGAAGGCGTTCCGACTTGTTAAATTTTGAAACGGAGAATAGTCACGGTATTTACGCCCGCTGGAATCCAGAACATCCCCGTCTAAGGGCGCGTTCATTCTCTAGTGCACTTATGAGGCGAACGATGTTCTGTTGTTTTTTCGTTGTTTGGAGTCTCCCTCCTCTTCTTTCCCCTTCTGATCCCCCGTCGTTCCCTCATCGGTGTCCGCATCTGCATATGTCCCTCGACTGAACTCTTCCCCCGATTCTACGCGGAATGGGCTGTCAAGATGTTCTCGCACGAGGACAAGAGCTGGACGAAATCGAGGGAAAATTTCCTCCTCCAGGTCCCGATCGTATGTGTCCGAATCCCCACAGCACAGATGAATAAATGATCGATTGCTTCCGACAAAGGTGTCTCCCATCTCATTCCTCTCGAAAATAAAAATTCATTCGGTTGAAGTCCCCGAATGGAGCGCAATCATATCCCGTCCAGACTGTGCGGCAAGGCTCGTTCGGCCGGAAGTCGATTATTCGGGATGTCGGCGTCGTACGATCCAAGAGAAAACAGTTCGGCTTTCGCTCTTGCTGCACTCGTGACATCCCGGAGCCCTGCGTTATTCGGCCAAGCCACGCGGCCGGCTGAGTCTCGTTCGCCTTCCCGCGTGTCATACAGACTAGCGGTGCCTGTTGTTGTCATTTCTCCGGTTTGCAAAGGCCGACGAGCAGCTTAGGGATGCGCTTAGTCGCAATTAGTAGTAGTGGACGCACAACTCTCCACCCCTAACAGGGACCGAATAGCCGATTGATCTTCCTTATAGATCCATTGATAGTTCGCTTGATGGAGATCTCTACTGATTGGAATGCGAAAGGCATCGCATGAACTACTACATTCAGAGGTTTATCATCCAGAACGACATCGTTCTTAGGGCAGCTGTCTAGCTGGCTCGGAGCGGCCGGAAATGAGTTCCATCGTTAATCGTCCGGCAAGCCACGCTCCTATCCTAGTTTCTCGCTATTAGAGGACTTTGTTATCAGCTGCCATGATCGGATCTACTATGTGAATCCTGAGCGCGATAATGAAGAGAGCCCAGACGAAAATGAGTCCACGTGGAAGAGTTCAAAAAGAAAACCCCGACCGGGACTCATCGTTCCCAGTCTCACTTGGATTCACATCTTCAGTGGAGCTCCGCTCAATTCCGAATCCCTGGGACCAGACCCACAGGATCTATTGGGCCGGGAGCCGCAACAGAGCTGAGGGGTCCATGTCTCGGCGAGTAGAGAGTTGAGACTCACTCATAGAAAGCCTCGATGGACGTACAGTCGCGTCGATGCGTCGCGCAAAGGGAAGAATACCGCTCAGATTCGCTATTTTTCTCCCTGCTATTTCCAGAGCCATGAAGTCGACATGACTGATGAGGTTCGAGAAGGTTTCACAGCCTCTCGATCCGGCGTATTAGTCCGCCACCGAAGCCGATTCCGAGTCATTCTCAAGAGTACTCTCGAAAACCACCTAATTAGGCCCGATTGAGCTCCAATCAGACTTGTTATCATTCTATATGAGATTCTGAATCGTCAAGGAGATATTCTCCCTGGACGTTCTCTTCTATGGGACCTGCCGCGATCCCGCGGAGGAATCTCTCAAACGTGGACGTACGTGCCGGGGCGCGGCTTTCACCTAAGCATTCGGAAAGCGGAGCTCGAGCCTAGATGCAGGCAGCGCTCTCTCATCGGAATGGATGGCGTTGGAATTCAACCTCTAAAAGCATCTAGCGCTCCGGGCAGATGCGTGAATCGGAGCGCGAATTTCCTCCGACTGAGCCCTGTGCGTGGAGAAATCTGGATGCTTTGCTCAAAATCTCGACGGATATATCCTACGGAGCTGCGGTGACGACTTTCTGGAAGAATATACGGGGGAGGAGGACAGCGCGCCAGCCGGACTCTCTGGATGTACGATTCGCAGTTCTGAGAAAAAAAATGCTATCAGCAATGATTCCAGTATTCCGGGAGCTGCCTGGTCCGCTCCTCGTGCCGATCGAATTCGTGGTGAAGGGCTTCACTGCCGAAGATACTTTCGATATGACGTCTATGGCGCCATGCTCTCATCAGATTCGGCCTAGGATAGCGGAATGGTGATGATGCCAGAAGTGAGCGCGCAGAGCAACAAGATAGAGGATCCGAACCAGGAGAAAGTCGAGGTACGAATCTTTGAATCCTCTGATTCCGAGGGAGCTTGGGAAAGAATTGGGTTTGGGTAGGTACGCCGAGTGAAAAGTACCGAGTGAGAGGCATCGTTGTTGCCGCGGAATACGAGCAATGCCCCGATCACTCGATGAAGGGCACACCTGCCTGTGAGGGAGGTGTTAAACACGGTTTCATCCTGGGATAGCCGCAGGAAACCCGAGTCTCCCCACTCTTGACTCGGGTACTCCACCCGAAGTTCACTCACAAACTTCAGAAGCGCAGGAGTAGCTCAACCGACGAGCGATCCGCAGGGTTCGTAAACACTCGCTCAGTGCCGCAGACGTCGGCGTCGCCGCTCTGTGAAGAGTTGTTTGATGCGCGTATGTCGCGCTCTCCTCGTACCGAACACGAGCAGATGATGCAACAACAGGTTCTCTTGACAGATTCGATGCGGATGAGTCGAAGGACCGTAATTTTCAACCTGTCATGCAAGAGGAAGCTCAGATTTCCGGTTCTGTGCAAGATTCTGTCCACGTTCATGAACAGACTTCTCTGAACCTGTACCTTAAACGTATTGTGCTGTGTTTCCATATAAATATTCACGGAGAGAAGCGAGAGGAGTTTTGAAATTAATTTAAAATTCATTGGCTGTTCTCGCTGAGGTCGTCGTCAGGTCACATACGAGCTTCGAATCTTCCGGAAAAAGCTGTCGACTGAGAGCTTCGATGGTCGGACTTCACTGTATTGATTCTTCTATTCCATTGATAAGCTGAAAACCGACGTCCAGTGAGTCGTTTCCGCATTCCTCACAACATACAGGCGCATCGACCGTGTTCTTAGTGGATCTTTCCCAGGGGACCTGGAATTCGATGACTCACGATAAGCCACTTTTCAGATCGGGAAAGAGAGATCAAGAGTTGTCCCGGAAGATTCCTCGCACGTCAAGAGTCCAAATACTGTACCTTGAGATCGGCCACATGCTTGTCATCCACCAGTTCATAAAATTGTTTCACGTCCTCAATCTTGTTCAATTTCCTGACAGGGCTTGCGATCGTATGGATTTCGCCGGCTCGCCGCGACTCATCGATATCCGAGTCGAACAAGGTCCCCGATCCCGGCTTGAATCTCATCCGATTTCGACCCAACATTTCTCTCTGGATTTCTTTGATGATCTTATACGCAGTTTTGAATTCGATCGCGGCGTTGAAGAAAAAAAGCACGGAGGCGACGAACTCCGTGACGTCTTCCGGTGTAGGCTCATGTTTCTTCAATTTGAAAACGAGATTCTCCAGGCTGTGAGCGACCTTCAAGCCATTGATGCTCAACTTCCCGATCTGGGCTGCGGCGAAAGCGATCCTGCTAGCTCTCCCCACGACCTCTCCCGAACGTGCCGGAGAGGAGAGCTTCGCAATGAAATTATTCGACGCGAAGCCGAAACCCGACGCACCGGCAGCGATCGAGAACCAGTCCACTCGGGCCTCGCGGTCTGTCAATCCTATGCTCAGGCCGTGTTGACCACGATCTACAAGATCCGCGACGCTTCGCCCCACGCCGTAGACTTCGGAGGCGGTCAGTGTGAGGGCTGTGGCGGTGAGAACCGGCCCGGCCACAGGAACGAACCACGACGCAACCCATAGACCAGCAGCTCCGGCAGCGAGCACGGTGGACGTGACGTCGAGAGCACCAATTAAGCCGGCGGAACTCGCCGGAGAATTTTGGAAGGACAGTTGGACCTCATTCTCGGCGTTGGCTCTGTAGACTCCCTCGGAGGGAGCACAGTATGTGCACGCCGGCAGTCGGTTGTTGTTCAACCAGTCGTCCCAATCGCTGTAAATCCTGGCTGAGGGATCGACGAAAATGCATACGCACGATTGAGCGTCGATGGATTTCGCTTTGAAAATTGGAATTCTGTGGTTATGATCATCGATGCGAGCGATTACATAGATGCACGCGAAAAGGATTCCTTCGTCTTTGAAATTAAATTGATGGATCAGGTTGTTGCTGAGCTTCTCTATGCATTCAAATTGTTCGGTCTCGTAACCGTAGGACCCGTCCGCGCCCGGATCCGGTTTCGGGGGCGGGCCATACAAGCCAAATCCTATTTTGCGCCTCAAAATGGTCTCTGCGTTAGGTTCGATCTCGTCCCAGAGCCGATTGCCGAGCAGCAGGAGGCATTGCTGCTGCTCCGCGCGAGCTTCCTCCTTCCAGTTATCCGACATGGTGGAGTTCAGGGCGGCGATGTCAATCAATTATGGAAAGTCAAGGATCACCGGCCAGCCGCGCCGATGTGACAACCTGGAATTACAGCGATCGTTCCCGTCAAAAATCTAGTTCCTTGTAGAAGGTGGCCGCCGTCATGTGAGAGTTCTGCGCTAAATTCGACCTCGAAGGCGCGAAATCAGAGACCGCAGAAACCAATGGTCAGCTAGTCCCTCGTCGCTGGGAACCCTGAGGAGATGTGCCAGGCGTCGCGAGCCCCCCTCCCTTCTCTACTTCTCAGTGCAAATGTATTTTCCCTTGAGGATTGTAATTGTGTAATACGAGGCCCATTCTTTGACGTTCTCTCCGACGGACCGATCCAATTTCCAGAGAATCTCAATTTTCGAGCTCCGCTGCTGTTCCGGTTCGTCAGGCCGTGAATTCGCGCTGCCTGAGCGATACGAGGGACCGGATTCGAGCTTGGGAGCCTGTCACCGCTTGGAAGCGAGTGAAGATACCTGGAGCGCGAACTGTCCGGCTGATCCGCGAATCAGGAAAAGTCCGCTCTCCTAGCGTGATCGGATTGTCTCGAGTCCCATTATTCATGCTCAATCCCATTGATAAAATCTTCGCGAAAAATGCAGCTCAGCGGCTCCATTTCGCTCCTCCCCGATGTTTGGAAGCCCCGGAAGGAAATTCGTCTATCCTACATGTCGATCATGAAAAGGGCCCGACTTTCGTCGCGGTCCGTGACCGCGATTTTTCGATGCGTTGCGGGGCGTCCCCCACAGGAAGTCTATGGGGGCCTGAAAATGCCGCGAGTCTCTGGCTAAGAAGCCGTTACGAAAGTCGAGCTCTGATCATGACTACAGGGGCCTGAGCTTTATGGAGACGATATCTACCTCCTAGCTGAAGAGGATACCCAAAACCGCTCCAGCTTCCGAGGAGATGGCAAAGGTAAGCTCGCAACTCGACGAACTCTCAGAATCATCCGGAATCTTACCAAAAGTCTAATCTTGGCGTTTTCCAGGGTGTTTTCCGCCAGCTGTGCACCAGAGAGAATTTCGAAGATCGGCAGGGAGCCTTACGTCGCAAGGTTAGGGAAACGTTCTCACATGAATCGTGCGTCTTTCTCTCCACTTCGATGGCAGTTCCGTGCCCTCGGAGAGAGCGTCAGCCGCGCTAATTTTCGAATTCGATGGTGGACCGATGGGTGCAAGTATCGCTGACAGAAGGGGCCTCAAAAAATGAACGAGAATCTCAGGATTTAGTGAGCGTTGCCCGTGAATCGTGAAGGTCCTCATGCCTCAACGTCTAATACCTGACTCATGGGCCTTAGAGGTTGGATAGCGCAGAGCCGGACTCGAGACAAGATCGCTGCAGTAGGTACCAGCCCCACCCACAGAAGCGTCTTAAGTTGACATCGTGATTGAAACTTGGGCGAAAAAACTGACGCGACTGAGAAGTCGGAAATACCGATTCCCTGCGGTTCGCTCGGTTCTGCTGGACACGCCTACGGAACTCCCCAGGTCAGAGAGTCTGAAGCTCGTGATTTCAGACAAATGTGAAGATTCGAGAAACTCGGACGACTCCTCGGGTCGAGGCTTCAGGCCTCGATTTGGCGACTGTGGGCGAGACGTGGTTCGACGCTAATGTTGCAGCGAATCACGGCCCCCTCGGTTCCAGTTGCATCAAGGCTTTCAGGCCGGGCGGTGCGGACGGAGGAGCGGCCCTTTCAGATTTGTGCGATACTTCAACTTCTCCGCGAGATTTGAGGGTAATCCTGAGGTTCTTGAAATGGAGCTTGTCGCTTCGGGCCACGGTCCAGGCTCCCGACTGCCCGAGGTGTGGAACAGGTTGCCAAACACTCCGAGAAAGGCCACCTGAGTTGCCTGCTTCAGGGACGGGCTCGACGAACTTCTCCTCAGGAATCGTCTGGAGCTTTCGACCTCGAAGTGTCTATATAATAATTTATGGGTATATTTGAAAAACGTCTGATAATTTTCCCTACCTTCTCGAAACCGCTATTGAAAGAAATCGATGAGACGACATCTATCTACGGAGGTTCATTAGGATCAGACGATTATTATTGGAGCCTGCCCATATTGTGATTTCGGGAGCCGGAGTATATTAAAGGAAAAACTCGGACTCTTAACACCAAGGAAAGCAGGCGGCAAATAGACTTTAATTCCTCATGCCTTCGATTTCATGGAGCTCAAGTCCACACCCTCCCGCGAGCAAAGTCATGATCCGTGGAATAGGGTCCGAGCCCCAGAACGTGATTTTCGCAAGAATATCATGATCGAGCTCTACTAACGCGACTCTTCTTATTTGTCATCACTTTTGTCCACCAGTATATCATACAGTTGACGCTCATTCTCGATGGTCCGCAAGCTCCTGACAACTTGCTTTTTTCTCGGGATTTCATTCGGCGCTACCTGCTCGAGCCTGCCATTGCTGCGCGGCCCCGTGTCCGAAGCAATCGAGAAGTCTTCTTGGCTCTTTCCAAAATCAACTTTCTGACTTAGTACTTGACGAACGGAAAGTTTCTTTTCTGCGAAACTTCTGGCTATCGAGAGACTCAAGGCCGCATGCGAGAAAAAAAGCACTGTCGCCGTGAACTGGAAAATGTCTAACGAGCTCAGCTCACCCTTCTCAATTTTGTCCGCCAGATGCTCCAAGCCATGTGCTATTCCGAGACCACTGATAGTGACGTTTCCGGTCTTTGCGTTGCGGAAGTAGAGTCGACCTTTCCGGCTTATCTTCACGACGAGCCCCACACCTGCGCTCATCGCGCCCCCGAAGATGTCTAGCCAGTGCTCACGTGCATCCCTGTCCGCCACATTGATTGTCTGGCCGTGCTTGCCGCGATCTACCAGTCCCTGGATACCTCGACCAGCCCCATAAACCGTGGCGGTACCGGCTGTCATTTTCAGAGCAGTGGCAAGCGGCCTGGCTATCGGGACGAAAAAAGACGCGAGGAATAAGCCTGTGGCCGCCCAGGATATGGCCGATGTCGTATCGTCGAGGGCATTCACAACTTTGGCGCCAACCGAGGTGGCTAAGGACTCAGAATATGAAAGCATGACTTCATTCTCGGGATCTGCTACGTAAGAGCCCCCCATGGGGGCGCAATAGGTGCACGCCGGTAGTTTCTCGTTGTTCACCCAGTCGTCCCAGCTGCTATAGACCCTGGCGCAAGTGTCCACGAACATGCATGAGTCCGATTCGGTCTTCGCGGCTTTCGCCTTGAAAAGCGGTATCGTATGGCTCTTCTCGTCGAAGCAGGCGAGGATGTAGATGCAGGCGAAGTGGATTCCTTCGCTGCTGAATTTGTTCGGTTGCGTGAGCTTATTGCTTATCTCATCTATAAGCTCGAGCTTCTCCCCCTCGTAACCGGTATGCTTGTTCGCGTCCGAAGGCAATACGAAAGGGGGACCGTGCAAGCCGAATCCTATTTTCCGTCTCAAGACGATCTCTTCCCCGGGTCCGATATCGTCCCACAGCCGGTCACCGAGGAGCAGGAAGTATCCCTGCTGGACTTTGCGAGCCTCGTGCTTCCACTCGTCTAGAAGTGTCTCTCGCTTGTCGACTACAGCATCCGTGGGAACAGCTCCCATGGAAATTATCGAATTCGTCTCCTTCCGCCGTTTGAAGAATTTTTCCGCGTCGGTTTACACAGGTATCCCGGTCGTCTGCCCTGCGGGCAGAGCGCTCGATTAATGTTCAACTCCATACTAACTGATTGTGAGTCATCTCCCACTCGTCTTCAAATCGATCGCCCACGGAGACCGAAAGACCTCCTTATTAGAAAATCGGTCCTCAATCTCTTCATATGGGTTTGCGCGAAGCCAATCCGATCCGACCAAGCATATCTCCGCCGGGTTCAGGCGGAGAATGTCCATTGAGACCGGATCGGCCTCCTCCAGGGAGAATTGCCCTAATCCTAGAGTTGGGACAGGAATTGCAGTTGACGCGTACAGCGCACAACTTCAATTCGCCCAAGTGTGCTTCGTCGTCACAAATTGCGAATATCGCCGCTGATTTTTCCTCGGCTCATCGTCATAGTTTGTAATAAGGAAGAATGCATTTAGATTCCGCTTCCGCCTGTCCGAGCGATACTCACAGAGAGCACAGAGGAGGCTATAACGGACGCAGTATCCCGAATTTCCGCAGATTTTGACGTCGCCTATTTTGATAGGGGATGAGAATTTGCATACTTCGTCCTCTGGCTGAAATGCGGAACACAGGTTCTATGTGGGATGTGGGCCGATCGCCCAATCCAAAGATGCGAAGCGCTCGGAGAGCTTGTTTGGCCGTTGGGGAAGGCAATCACGGAAAGTGTCGAGATCCAATCATGGCTTTGCTGATCAACCCGTGCGTCATTCACGTTCGGGTAATGTGCTTTCAACCTTGGAAGTTTCATCCCTCCCCGAAATCGTGCAGACGAGACAGCGGACGGGGGGAAGTTTTCCCTGGAAGCGATTGAGCTCGGTCGATAATCGAGATCAGAAGACAAAATTGTGTATTAGACGCGGGCTTGCGGGATCACAATTCGATGCTCCTTGAGTCGAGAAAGCACAGGAGATCCGAAGATTCTGCAGCAGAGGTCAGTCGCCTCTGAGTTCATGATTCATGAATCATTATCGAAAAAAATCGGATCGATTTCCAACAGCTGGTTTGCCTACGGCGCGGAATCCAGTGATCGGTCATCCTAGAGCAGAGGAGCCGAAAGACAAGTTCTCACACGCATATCGGAAGGAACGCCCCTATGGGAAGTAGTGTAGGAGACGGTATGCCCCCGCGGTGACATCCGCCTAATTACTACAAACTCTAGGATACCATGGGAGATGGGAGTCGGGAAACGCTTGCTTGAACGACAGGATGGGCGCTTGTCGGGAGAGATGAGACTCATTCCCGTCGGGAGAAGAATCGGTTCGGAATGACTGAGTACCTCTTCAATGCAAGCATTGGAACCTTGCGGTGCAGAAAGAAGAATGAAGGTCCCGAAACTTGAATTTTAAAAAGTTACGATCATGATCACCACAATATGGCAAGTGATGTTGGACGGTGCGAGGCATGATGAATGATTGATTCAGAGGTTCCACGGTCTTCTCGCACCGATGCTTCTCGCCTTTTATACCAGCTTCCGACAATATAATAATTGAACTCTACACTCATGCCGGATGCCTCTTGAACGTCTACGGATTCGTACTACCTACATCTGAGCTCGAATACAGGGTCAGTGAGCCGTGTGGGTAAGTTTCAGGGGACTCTGTGATCGGAGGTTTATTTGACAGGCGACGAGCTCATTTGTATTGGGGTCCTCAGCCGCCTCCTTCCGTCCCCAATGGGAGTTCCGTGAGCCCGTCCGTAAATGCGTCTCCCCGGCAAATGATGAATAGAATCGCTATTTCGTCGGCAGTCCCGAGTCGTGACAGAAGAAAACGAACCGCAAGCTAGACGATTAGCTGTCCCCCGCCATTGTCCCTCCATGTGAAGAGAAACGGAGACTCTGATAGGACTGTTCAATGCTTTCAATTCATTTTTCACGGGAGACGGAGCGGATTTCCCGCTGGCCAAGTTCAGAAATCAATCATCCCTCAGCCCTCGACACGACGAAAATCCTGAGCTCAGACAGAGTTTTCTATGCGTCCTACACAGGCTGTTTGCTCCGGGATCCTTTCAGAATCGGAACTCCGTGACGGAAAGTCGCCGTTGGACGTAAAGCTGGATAAGTTTGGAGGGAGGAAAAATCGTTAAGTTTCGACGTCGATTCGCGCGGAACCGGAGGTGAGGGAGACGAGAACCGACCTGCGAGCAGTAATATTTGTTTCTGAGGGGAAGCTCTAAGCTCGAAAAGCGAACTGGTTCTTGGAACTTGAGAACGGATCGGTCGCCCTTCCATGCTGTCGGAAACGTGTTCGTTTGAAGATATGACGAGGCTGTCGTTCTCGCCAGCTCGGGGGTAACCAGGGAAACGATTCAATCGGAACCTCCTTTCTCGTGGGGCAGAGTGATGCAGGCTCCGAAATGGAGGCAAAACCAGAACACTTGCCTTGGCTGTTTGAAATATTGGATGCCCCAACTCCGGAATTCCACTCCTATCCATATTGATGGGAGGAGAATGAATATTACAATTAGAGGCTGATTCTTCCAGCCTGGGGCTCAAATCTTCTAAGCCGGTCCGGTCGACGAAAGCATGGGTGGAGAGGGAGACGAGCCGAAACCCCTTCGCAGGATCGATTGGGCAACGATGCTGAAGTTAGGCCCCATGAAGGAAATTGCGTCTAAGATGGAAGCCGACGGTCGATATCACAGACTAAGGGCAACAAGAATGGAATGGCGAAATCGTCGGAAGACGTCGGAACCATCGCAAAGAAGGCAAGACCGGGAAGGGTTTCCGAAAGGATTGCTGGTAACGATGTTTACGGCTGGACTTGTTCCATAAGTCGATCGAGGAAACGCCACCGCATCAGACGATCCGGAAGCCTGGACTTCTGCGCGATCGAGCCCGACAACGTCGAGAGAAAATTCCAGGGTTGACCGGCGGAGAATCCGTCCAGCGCGGTCACCGGACATCGGGAAACCGCTCAATAGCAGAAAGCGGTATTTGAGAAGCCAGAGCAGACGTTCTCGGAGGAAGGGGTGTCGACGCTCGTGAATCATGGAATCGATCTCCTCGTGTGCTATCAGCTCCACAATGAAACCGATGAACGAGGACTGCAATCAGCTGAGGCTCGAGGGCCAAGGCCCACATCGCGATCGTAAAGCACTCGAGGAGAGCTCTTGAGACTTCGAGGATACATTGCGTAGCATCGGAACGGAGGAAATTCCGATCGAAGGGCACCGGAGTCTTCGGAGCCATATCATCGACGCCCGCATGTTACAATCGCTCCGTAGGTCCAGAATCTTTAGGAGCATGCCCATGGATCTGTTCTTCCTCGCTGAAGGGTAATCCCGCTCAGATAAGACGCCAACTTACACGAGCACAAGAACTGAGACAGTGCGTGGAATCCCTTTGGAACTCTACATTCTGTACTTGCCTTGACCGTATTGGGGACGACTTGATGTCAGGTATGGAAATCCAAGATGCGTGATCATCGATTATTTATCCAATGATATTAAAGAGTGCCAATAGAATGTCGGATCCATGGGAAATCTGCGTGGGTCCTCCCTCAGAGCTGGACAAAAATTGCTTCTTGGTAGGACAGACCTCCTCTCATTTTTCGGAGTCCCGCCTGCATCATGTCGACGGCGCCTTTTCATCTCGCCGCTAACTCATGCTAGCAGGCCTGCTAGTTGCCGATGCTCGAATGATTGGCACGAGGATGAGTTCACCCCACGCGGGCAACTCGCTGCTGCAGGCGAGCTCCCCGGATCTCCAGGGTAATCTAGAGGGCACTATTTCGAGATTTGCATTTTAGGCGAGTGGAAGCACGCAACCTCCTGAGAGAGATCGCTCAAACAAATTAGACTATCGCTGTCGACAACCTCTGTCTGAGATCGTAAATCTTGCCTCTGACAAGACTATCTTTTACTGCTTGAAGGAATTCTTTTATGGGAGGATAAAATGGACCCACTTGAGAGAATGATCACCCCGCCGTAGAATGGCCTTACCTAACGACTTGAATGGCAAACCCAGTCAGAGGAAGTGAATTTCCCGGTTAATCCTCGGAAGTCGCTCCGAGGCGCGAGCGATCTCAGGAAAGAGTCATATCAGTGATCGGGTCGAGCTCGATCGACGCGAAAACTATCTGATGATGCGGAAGCCTCCCGTATTGACTATGCGAATCTATACATGGCGTTATGATATAATCGCCAGGGTTCAATGTGGGACTGTCGCAGAAGCCGTCCGGTATAGGTATCACTGCAAACATTTTCACAATATCCTCGATCACATCACTGAAGATGACCCCGCCCTTCCAAGACACGCGCTCAGCCACGTATAGGCTTCTTGGGGCGCGGTAACGAATCCGCTTGCATTCGTGATGGCAGAAAGGGAGAGGGAAAAGCCTTTGTATCCAAAAGCCGTTCATTTTCCCTTCAGGAACGCACGCCAATCGAAAATCGAGGACCTGGAGATGTCTCACAGATTTCCTCGGAGGAGGGGTAGAGATCCGGTGCATGCCTGCTGAGACATCCATATCGATCACGAGGTTGCAGGAGCCCGACGCAAGCTGATCTTTGCGAACACTGTACGACGTAAGCGGATTCCTCCAACGTAGGGACCGGTACTCTCGGATGTCGAATTCCGAACTCCGATCGACTTTCCAGACTGAATCTACCAGAGTGACTAGTATGTGATAGGCATACACATCAGTTTGCCAATAGATAGTCGGAGCCGGGAGAAGGCAGGCTTCGGATCGCTGCCGGGCGAGCTAGGATTGAACAAGGAGGCAATTAACGAGAAACTTCAGTTTGAGCCCGTTCGTGTTTGAAGCCCCGAGGACATTTGACTTTCATCGGCTCATCGTACGCCTCGGACCAGTATTCGGGGCTGACTCGGAAGTAGACCCAACGGAACAGGATGGGAGGGCGACGATGCCTCGTATGGTAGATTTTTGTGGAGGAATTCTCCTACTGACGCCTTTCAGGACGGAATTGTTCGAAATCAATC